TGACTGCAGTGCAGAAGTGCTGGCGCTGCCAGCACTTTCAAGCTCCTCCTTATTGACCGCCCTCAAACGGACGGGTCGTCAAATATGCGCGTCGCGCGTACTACTACTACTACTACTGCTGCTGCTACTACTACTACTACTACTACCACCACTACTACTACGACTACGACTACGACGACGACGACTACTACTACTACTACTACTAGTACTACTGCTACTACTGCTACTACTGCTACTACTGCTACTACTACTACTACTACTGCTACTACTACTTCCTCCGCCGCCGCCACCACAGCCCCCCGCCCCGCTACCGCAACGGCCACCACTATACCAGTCAGAACTAACTGCAGCTGCTGCAACTATCGCTGCTGTGATGCTGGTGCTTGTGAACTGCAGCTGCCTGCAGCTGCTGCAGCTGCTGCTGCTGCTGCTGCCGCCGCCGCTGCTGCCTTCTTCGCATGTGATCGCCCAGTTCCGTTGAAGGGTCTTAGCGTGGTAATTTGGCCTCGGGCATTCAACACATGCAACAACACACTGCATGTGTCAGATTCTATCTCCGTGAAACTTACTGGTAATTTAGACTGCCTTAATGATGGTAAGCTTCCTATGACTTCGGACCCCTTGGCCAGGAGTAGTCCAATATGTAGCGTTGTTTTCTCTCCGCCTTGCCAATTGTCATTTGCCAGAGGAGCAGCCGTGGCGTTCCGCGTTTGGCGGGGACGATGAGCTCATTGCAGCCACTGCAAAGTTTCGGTAGGTTCAATGCTTAAAGCATGAGTTATTGAAAGGCGCAAGCTGCGCAAAGTAGCATCGGGGGTAGTTCTCAAACGATTCGGGTCAGAGCCTATAGTTCAATTGTGCATGCTTCACGGTCATTGCAGGGTAGCCACAAGACCAACATGTATCAAGTGGGGCTTCGCATCAACACATCTTCCTTGCGTGCTCTTTGTACAAGTATCTTGAGAACTGCCCGGCAGCAAGAGTTGCGAACTCTGCTATGCACAGACAGATTTCCGTGCTCGGGGTGCGCCACTGCTTCCAACAGGCTCCTGCAAGTTGACTTGCTTGAAACCCTTGTATACTGAGCCGGTCACACCTTGCCTAGAAATAGATACTGGGACTTGTAGGACTCTGTGGGTGCAGTTGCGTGCTCTCAGGCTCGAGCAGAGCACTCAACAAAATGGGCGCGTATCATGTCTCTAGCATGTCATAGTGCTGTCACTGCAGCTGGTGGGAACAGTGGTGGACCTTGCTGCACTGGCAAATTAACAGCATATGCTATTACTAGAGCTAGAGGCTCTTTGGGGGATGAAGTCCATGGGGCACGGCACATGTCATTGATGGGAGTTGTTTACTATTTGTAGGAGCTGAACAAATAGGTATATATAGGAATAGAAAAGACAATGGAAACTACTGTATTGCTTGCGCCAAACTGAACTTGCGCGCCTTACCGTGGCGGCACTCACTTGGCCCAAGTACCGTTTGGAGAGCCCCTCGATAAGTGTCAGGTGGCATGCCTTGACCCCATAAATCCTGGTAAAACCCTCCATAATCTCTGCACACAATATATAATAACTATATATATTTATGTATGTATGTATATATGTAATCTATATATTGATATGTATATATACATACAACATCATCTTATGTTCCTAAGGGTTGCCACTTCTTGGTTTTGCGCGTTGCCTGGCTCGAGCCTTGGCTTGGGCTTCTACAAAAAACTGCGGCTTCTGCAGATGGCATGCCTGTGAGTCCTGAGTCACAAGTGAGGCTTTACCAAAAGTGTCTCCCATACACATATACATGTATATACATTTTTGTGTCCCGATATGCTATGATCCTTCATAGAAGCCTTCCCAAGCGGAGGCCGCTAAATTGTTACGGAAACCCGAAGTTGTAACATTCTCAAGACGCCATGGCGGGAAGCGAACGAACTCCGCTGCACTGAATTCATGACCAATGCAGGTTTACCTGCAGACTTTGGCAGGGAAGATCATTCCTTTGTCAGTCGAGCCGTCGGAGACCATCCGGTCTGCAAAGGCCAGGGTCCAGGATGTGGAGGGCTTCAGAGCATCCCAGCAACAATGGATGCGAGATGGACAGAAGTTGCCGGATAGCCTCAGTTTTGAGGATTGCAACATCGAAGCCGATTCTACCATTGATTTGGTATTGTCCCGGCAGACGCTGCGGATATCCGTCCGCACACTTACCGGTGAACTACTTCGCATTGAAACTGGGTTGCCCGGTAATTTAATGAATATACCATAAAATATGGATGTACAATAAGTAATATTGTAGGGTTTGCTTAACTTAATTCAAGTTCATTCGCAGCAACCCAGGAGATGGAGGATGACTTTTCGGTGGATTGTCTGAAAGCCAAGATTGAGGAAGCCTCGCCCGGCTGCTTTCAGGAGTGGTTTGTTTCATTATGAAGGTTTAGGGGTTTGGGGTTGAGGTTTAGGGTTTGGGGTTCATGGTCTAGGGTTTGGGGTTTTGGGTTTGGGGCTTAGGGTTTAGGTGTTGTTCCATTGTAACTATAAGTGCCCAAAGCGGGATTAGATAGGGATAACGGACAAGACTATTTTCCACTACTCAGAGTTCGTAAAGTTTAAGGCCATTACCCCAAATAATTGCAAACACGGATCTTGGTTCCTTGTATGGTTGTGGTATAAAGGGTAACTCAAAGAGAGCTCAACACGATATTGGCAAATTTTTAGGCAACCCTAAACCCTAAACCCTAAACCCTGTCCTAGGGCCTGCGGGCTGAAGCAAGGGTGAGCGTAGAAATGGTTGCAGGGACTTATCGGACCCAAGCAGTTTGGTTGCAGTACTTTGAAGTGTAGCTTCACACGCGCTAGCCAGAATGTGGTATTTGCACATGGTTGTCAGGCAAATTCTCAGTGAATACCTGTAACTACATCAGACAGCAGCAATGCTGCTTTGTTGCCGGCAAGACAGCAACCGTAGCACTAGCAGCCATATCCAGCAACTACAGGTGTTTTGCGCTTGCAGCTACGCTTTTTGCCCTGATATTTTCTTGACGCAGCCTGCCAGGAAGTGTCCCCAGAATATCGCGGTTGGGTGTTTCAGGGTCGCTCGCTGGAAGATGGTCATGACCTGTCAGAGTCTCAGCCGCACACAGGCGCGACGCGCATCCAGATTGCCTGGCAGGACACCCCGTAAGCTACTCTTGATTAGCAGACCCAAGGCAGACACAGCACTGCAGATTTTGGGTTTGTGTTGTGCCCAGCCGATCAAAGTCTGCTTTTCGGGTAATGTGGTTGTCATGTTGGCGTGTGGTGGCTCGTAATGTAGCTGAAGTCTCAGAATCCGTGGCAGAAGCTATCCCCAACCTTTATCAGCCCCAGCTGGGCCGTGTTTCTTCTGACGGGGAAGATCACGCATCAGCCTGACATGTGCTGACCGGGCATTTCTAGTGAACCCCCCAAAGAACCTTGGCCTTGAGGATTTGCCTTTGACCTTTCAGTGAACCCCACACTACCGGAGTGGAACTTAGGATTACGGCATTGAATCTGGAAGCACTGTATGGCTTGCGATGCGCAAGAATGCAAGGACGGCCTTGGAACATTGTCCGGTCGTGTTTGTCAAGGCAAGCACGTAAACATGTTGAGAGAGGAGTCTAGTAGCTTGCCGTCTTACTAGTACATTCAATAAAGTAACTAGAGCTTGGTTAACCCAATTTCCATTACCACTATTATAAATAGTAGTTTCCATTTTATTTTCCATTATCCCAATATTGCCCCAATATATTCCCTATAACCCGTACATAAACACCATGTAACCCCTATAATCCCCATAGTTTCCATTTTCTTTTCCATTGTCCCAATATTACTCAACCCTAAACCCCTAAACCCTATATCATCCTAAGATCCCAGCATCACCAGCAGGCCCCGAGCATGTCTGCATCCCCGAAGCTGGCAGTCTTAGGGTTTAGGGTTTAGGGTTTAGGGTGGGATCTTCGTGCAACCCTTTGCCCCACTGGGATCTTCGTGCAATCCTTTATTTGGGGTTTAGGGGTTTGGGGTTTAGGGTAATATAGGGGATTATATAGGGGTAGAGTATAGGTATATATAGAGATGATAGAAAAGAAAATGGGCGCTACTATTTAGGTGTTAGGGACCCTTGACCCTAAACCCCCAACCGTGAATACTACAAGTAGACCTTGAAGCTTGTTGCAAACAGCCAGGAGACCACCTGTAGAATCTCAAGGGCCCTGCAGTCCGCCGTAGATGTTGTACCCCGCCGGCCCTGACGAGGAATTGCGCTGTAGTACTTTTGGTTGAGTCTAGGGCCAGGGTTTGGCAAGATTCTTAGAAGTGAGTGAACGTAAGCTGAAGATTGCGTGTGGTTCAGCGCTTGCGTATATCAGTACTTTTCAGACCTTGTCCTTTGTGCATTCCCTTAAGGGCCAGAAGATGTAGTATGCGCAGCCCAAACAGTTGTTCACGTTAATTAATAGCAGGGTTGGTGTTCTAAAAGGCTAGACGGAGAAGTCCGACCTAGCGAGGTCTCACTGCTTGCTGTGACATGCGAGCCATGAAAAGGGCATTGGAGAGAATTGGAAAGGCAACAGGGGCTTTTGACAGAGGCTCCTCTGCCTTCATACACTTGCGCATGTCCTGTTCTGCCCACAAGCAGGGTCCACCGCAGCCCACGACTGGACCCTCCAATCCTTGAACGCGAGCTCCACAAACTCTCTCCTCCCAGATCATGCCAAAAGTCCTAGGGGGAAGAGGTTGATGGTTTGCACAACTCTTGCCGCCAGCTAGTGCCATTATTCTTACTGTTAATATTCTTAGCATTATTCATATTATTACCGATATTATCACTGCTACAATTAGTCTAGGCTTTGAGCTTAAGGACAAGTTCTGACTTCCTGGAAGGGTGCAGTGATATCGGCTGGCGTTTTCTCTTATTAATGTCCTATTTTGCAAGTTTGTGGCTGCGGGTGTTCACTCATGATCCTGAACAGTGAGCCCTAAGAAATTACAAATGTTTCCTGGTTTCATGACCCCCAGCTTGGGATGTATCTCGGACATTTTTGCTGTAAGGCTTCTTTCATCTCGTGTTTGTGCAAAGGCCCCCCCCCCCCACATTTTGCAAAACCACATTGCCCTCAAGGTCTAGGTCTAAACCTTGAACCGTGTTTGCTAATTAGTCCTGTGTCAGAACCCCCCCATGCATGCTGAACCAGACATACCTTCCCAAGTAACGGCATGCAACATGCAAGCGACGGTTGTGGTTGGACCGGGGGGGAAGATGTCAACAGTCCCTGAAGCAGCGGCCTGGTTCAGTTCTCTCCCCCTTGCCGTGCCTAATCAAAGGCAGAGATTAAGAATATGGGGTATATTATTGGGTTTATAAAGGGAGAATGGAAGAGAAAATGAAAACTACTGTATTATAGTGGGGTATATATTGGGGTTATACTTACCGCGATTGTCTGAGCCCTGGAGGTTTTGCAGTAGTCCGCATGTTGATCCTTGAGCTCCTCATGCCAGTTCCTCTCTTTCAGCCAGGGAGAACCAGCACACGGACTACATTGCTCCACACAAGTACAGAGCCTCAAAAGGGCCCTCAAACACTGCAGTCCGGTCATAAAAGCGGCCCATTTCGAGTTCCATGTTTGTTCAGCGGATTGCAAGCCCAAACCGCAGACCATCCCGGTCTAAGCCCGCATACCCTTCTAGAACCTTTGTATGCCATGTAGAAGTCCAGCAAGCTTGGCAATGCATAGGCCCAAGACTGGGTCATTCTTGAAGATAGCGGAAATAGAAATGACAATCGTCACGACGCCAAAGCCCAAGTAATTTCAAATAGTAGCCTAACAAGAAACCAGAATCCCTAAACTCTACTATATAATCCCAAAACCCCAAACCCCTTTTAACCCTAAAACCTAAACACGTAAACAGTAGAATCCACCATGGCTGAGCAAGAGCCAGCTGCCGGGGCAGAAAGCCACAACAGCATCATGGCATTGGTATTTCAGTAGCCGTTTACGGATTAAGGTTTAGGGTTGAGGGATCAGGGCTGAGGGATTAGGCTGCAGGCATTTCTTCACAAAAGGTCCTTTAAGAACACTTGGAAGACACGGGATCATAGGTGTCCCGCTAAAGGAGAAAGAGGATTTCTTTTTTGAGGAGCCCTCAAATTGGGACTGCGCAAGCTCCTGGCCCTCGGTTGGGAGAGCTATGAGGATTCTAGCTTTGAAGCAGCTATTTCTGTAAACAGAGTCGTGCTTTTTGCGTGACAGCACTTCATAGACCCTTCTGCAAAAAGAGCTTTTAACAAGAGGGGGCGGTCCCGCGGCAACCCACTTTTTCCTCGCACCACCAGACATCTAGGCTTGTACAAGTAGCTTTGAGGATAGCATGTTGAAATTGCCTTCATTTGAACATTGCTTCTCAAGCTGAACTTGCTTGATGCCAACGAACTTCTGGAACAGACTATTTTGAGATGCAGTCGGGGCACTCAAATTGTTGGCAAATACTAGCAGCAAAAATCTTCAGTGATAGATTGGGAAAAACAAACTTGGATGTTGAGTTTCAACCCCCCAGACCATCAGGAGGCAGGGGGAGGGGGTGGTTGCCACAAATTGCCCCATCTGAAGTTTGACCAAAATTTTACCCTAAAACCCTAAACCCTAAACCCCCACCTGTTCACCAATCCTGCCAAGTCACGCAGGCAATGAGACATGACCCGCGCTACTTTCCAGTTGGGAAAAGAGCTGATACAACTCCAGATGGTTTAGGGTTTAGGGTTATTTTGCAAGGATTACTGGGTGGTTCCCAAAATTAGAGGACCCCGATCTAGACCCCAAAAGACAAGGTATGAGTCAGGTTGCCAGACCATGACTAACAGCGCACGAAGCCTCCTCCCCATATGAGCTGTAGTCTAAACTCCTTCAAAGGGGTTATATAGGGGATTATACAGGGGACTACTATAGGGCTTTGTTAAGGGGGATAGAAGGAGTTTAGAATATGGCTCATACAGTGGATTACTTCACTTGAAGACGAATTGGGGTCTGAAAGCAAAGAAGAATGTAGGTAATTGGGTGGCACTTAGAGGGCCGCAAGGAAAAGTCTCACGACGCACATCGTGCCTAAAGCCTTCTAGCATCCCTCACTGAACCCCGCCACAACATAGAAGCCCTTTACACAAATGCCTTGAGGTTACTGACAGCAGGCGGGGGGATCACCTAAACTGTAGCCCTGAAATGTGCCAAGGCCCACCAGAGCCTGAGCATGGCTTGGCAGCACCGGATGCTCCTTCTGAATTAGGAGGTTATAGTCCCCCTTTAGTAGATAGAATATGGGGTATGTGGGGATCTTAGAACGCACCCAAAGCAATATTCTATCTACTCAGGGGGACCATAGGAATTTAGGTTTGGATGCCAAGGCCCCCAGAATGTCAG